TCGCCGCGGCCCCGCGCCGTCGCCAGCGCGCGGCCCGCGCCGACGGCGCCGCCGACGGCGGCCGCGCGCGCCGCGGCCGACTTCGCCCCCTCGGCGACGGCGGCGCCGTCGTACCGGTCGCGCGCGGCGGCCGTCGCGCGCGACGACGACGGCGCGTCGTCCGCCGCCGTCGACGACGGCGGCGGCGGCGCGGACAGCGCGTCCATCTCGCCCCTGCTCTTCGTCGGCGTCGTCGTCGCGCTCCTCGCGCTCCTCGCGGTCGGCTACGGCGCCGCGGCGGCGCGGCGGCGCCGCGCGCCCAAGGTCGACACGGTCGTGGGCGTGACGAGCCTCTTCAGCGAGGACGACGACAAGGGTCACTGGGTCGAGGACCCGCCGCCGCCGCCGCCGCCGACCGAGGTCCGCCGCCTCCTCGCGTCGCCGGAGCCCATGGCGACGAAGAACTACCCGTCGCCCGCGCTGCCCGAGGAGCCGCCGGGCCACACGCAGGAGTACGCCGACGACACGGTGGGCATCAAGATCCTCACGGGCGCGGGGGGGCTCGAGGGGAAGAAGAAGGCGCTCTTCAAGGACGACGCCGCGCCGCCGCGCAAGGTCGCCGCCGCGCCGCCGCCGCCGCCGCCGGAGGACCTGACCCTCTTCCTCCCCGCGGGGGCGGCCCCCTTCGAGACGCCCCGGCGCGCCCGGGCCGACACCGAGGACTCGGAGGACCCGCGGTTCCGGCTGCGCGTGCCGTCCGTGGAGGACGCGGACGTCGCCGAGGCGCTCGTCGCGGGCGGCGGCGTCGCGGGCGCTGCGGACCGCGGCGCGGCCGTCGACTTCCTCGACGCGGCGCTGCCGGCGGACGCCGATTTGGACATCGCGGCGGCCTTCGAGGAAGTCTCCGACGACGACGACGACGACGGCGGGCGGAATCAGACGGAGATCGTCTTCGAGGACGTCTTCGACGAGGGGGCGCAGGAGGACCCCCGGCCGCCGCCGCCGCCGCCGCCGCGCACGCCCCCGCGGCGGGGGCCGGGCAAGCACGGCTCGCCGGGGGCGTCGCCGGGCGGCCTCCTCGCCCTGTTCCGGCCCAGCAACCTCTGGGTGCGCAATCGCACGACGTCGCTGTCGACGGACAGCGTCGAAGACAGCCTCCGTCGCGCGTCCCACATGCGAGGCGACGACGACGTCGAGCTCGCCGCCCTCGACACCGCCGAGTAATTCACGCGCAGAGGTCACACGTGGCACGGACAAGTGCGCCGACGCGTATGCGCCACGGCGTCCGCACGACGTCCATCGCGATCGGAGGCCTCCATCGTCGACCGGCGAGCGATCAGTGTGGCCGAGTTGTGGTTGCTGTCTCACGCGCAGCATGGCGGCGCCTCATCGGTACCTCCTGATCGCTACAGCCTGCTGCGCGATCACCGATTCCTTCGTCGCCACTCGGACGCAGCCGCCGCGCGCCGCGCGCTTGCTGGCCAAGTCGGGCAAGAAGAAGAAGAAGGCCGCCGGCATCGTCGTCCCCGAGTCGGAGCTGCCGCGCGTCGTCGACGTGCTCGCGACGGCGCGCGCGACGATCACGCCGACGGCCGAGGAGCTCGTGAAGATCGCGACGCGCGTCGACGTCAGCGAGGTGCTGGCGCTGGCCGCGTCCGCGGCCGTCGCGCGGTCCAAAAAGACGGGCGCGATCGAGATCACCGGCAACGTGACGGCGTCCGTGCGCCAGGCCTGCGTGACCACGGGCGCGCCGGTCTTCAGCGACGTCGCGGAACGGTTCGTCGTGCCCGTCGTCGTCGGCGAGGCCGACGAGTTCGACGACGACGACGACGACGACGACGAGGTCGTCCGCTCCGTCGACGGCAAGGTCGAGCTCGGCGAGCTCGTGCTCCAGTTCCTCTGCCTCGCCATCGACCCCTATCCCCGCGCCGTGCCCGTCTCCTCGGACGCTATCGCGTCCCACGGCGACCGCGACGACACGCAGCCGGAGGCGTTCCTCGAGATCGGCTAAGTCGTCGCGCGCGCGTTACGGGCCGTCGGCGGGTTCGCGTCATTTCGCGTCGCGCGCGCGCGGGGCGCTCGCTAGGTCGGAGGCTCCGGGCGGCTCGGCTTCGGGTGGAAGCCGGGCAGGCCCGGGCCCGCGGCGAGGCCGAGCGGGAGCTTCGAGGTCCCGAAGGCGTGGCCGCCGAAGGCGTGGCCGCCCGCGCCGTAGCTCTGGCCGCGGAAGGTGTGACCGGTAGGGAGACCGCTTGCGACGACCGGCCTTGGTGCCGGAGCGACGCATTCGGCGCATCACGACGTCTTCGACTTGCTCGGCCGCGGCCGGAGCGCGTCCGCGACCATGGCGGCGCCCTCGACGGCCTGCATGAGCGCGAAGCCTCCCGTCGCGGACAAGCCGAGGCCCGCGTATCCGTAGACCACCTTGCCGAGCGCGATGCCGAACGCGCCGAAGACGAAGAGCAGCTTCTGCCGCAGGAACGTGCCCTCGCGGTGCCCGAAGACGACGACGAGCTTCGCCGCGGAGACCGCGCCGAGACAGCAGCCGAAGAGCTGGAAGACGAAGGCCATCTTCGGGTCCGTCGCCGCGCCGAAGTGCAGCTGGAAGACGTCGTCCTCCGGGATGAAGGACAGCGGCGTGCCGGGTGCGAAGACGTTCCGCGCCGCGACGACGAGGCCGAGGCCGTCGACGACGAAGGAGATCAGAGAGAGGAGCGGTCTCGGGAGCATCGTGAGCGGGTGCGTGCGCGAGATGCGCGTATCGTAAGGGGGTGTGTGCGCGAGATGCGCGCAGACGGCGGCCTGGCAGAGCTCGAGAGCTCGAGCTTGTCGAGCTCGCAGAGCTGCAACATCACCTGGGTGCCTTGGACGGTGAAGGACTGCTCTTTGGTTCCGTTCGGTCTGTCTAGCCGTCGCAGATACCCAGTAAAGCTGCGCGCTGCTAAAGCTCGCGTTCCAAGGCTGCCCGAAGCATGGGCGCCTGCCAGTCGCGCGCTTCACCCGCACCAACCGCAAAGCCAGCGGACGATGCGACGCCGAAGACCGCAGACGGCCGCGCTTCCTGGTTCAAACGGACGCCCGGCGCGGTGTCGCCGGAGGAGGAGGCCGAGCCGCCGCCGCCCGCGCAGCGGAAGCGCGCGAGCGTCGACGAGAACAAGTTCGACGCGCACGCCGCGCCGCCGGCGGGCGTGCTCGCGGAGCTCGCGGCGCGCGGCGCCGTCGTGCCCTGCGAGCACGCCGGCTCGGAATACCCGGCCCATTTCCACGCCAACGTCGCGGGAAACCTCATGTGCTTCAAGACGCTCGACGCCAAGACCAGGTACCACGCGAAGCACAGGGCCGCCTTGGCGAAGTACGGCTCGTGGGCGGGCATCGACATCGCCAAGACCGACGCGGACTGGAGTATGCGCTACGGGTCCCAGGTCTTTGGCCAGCCCTTCAAGTTCGACGAGGCGATGAAGGCGCGGCTCGCGCGCGAGGGCGACCTCATGCGCCGGGCCTACGAGGACGCGGCGCGGCGCGCGCGGACGCGCGAGCCCGACGACTACGACGCGCTCGTCTCCGACAAAGCCTACGCGGCGAAGACGCCCCGGCGCCGGCTCAGGCAGCGGAGCGACGACGTCTCGCTCATCTACGCGGACGCGCTCGCGGCGCTGCCCGAGCTCTGGTTCGCGTGCGCGGCCGCCGTCGCCGCCGCGGACGCCAAAGCCGCGAAGCTGTCGTGGTGCGTCAAGAAACTGCTGCGCGCGCACGAGAAGCTGGTCGTCGAGTACGCGGGCAAGGCGGGCCAGCTCCTGGACGTCGCGCGCGTCTCCGTGGTCTGCGGGAGCGTCGCGGAGCTCCGCCGCGTCTTCGGACAGCTGCTGAAGAACAAGGGCGTGGTCCGCGTGAAGAACCGCTTCGCGAAGCCCGCGGGGGGCTACGTCGACGTGTTGCTGAACTGGACGGCGTCCAAGGCCGCGCGGGGCCACGTCTGCGAGATCCAGCTGCACGCGGCGTCGGTCTACGCGACGAAGGGCGAGGGCGGCCACCAGTCCTACAAGTGGCTGAGGCGCCTCGTGCGCGCCGACGACAGCTACGAGGGCCCCGTCGACGCCGAGGGCCGGCCCCACGGCGAGGGGGGGCGGAAGCTCTTCGCCGCGGGCGACGCCTACGTGGGCGCGTACGTCCACGGCGAGAAGCACGGCGCCGGGAGGTACGTGTCGTCCGACGGCACGGTCTTCGAGGGGAGCTACGTCAAGGACAGGCGCCACGGCCCGGGCGTCGTGCGATACGCGAACGGCAACGTCTTCGAGGGCTCCTACGTCGACGGCGTCATCGAGGGCCACGGCACGAAGCGCGTCTACGGCGGGGGGGTCTATGTCGGCGCCTGGAAACACGGCAAGCCCGACGGGCGAGGCACGGACACGTCGAAGACCGGCGACGTCTACGTCGGCGACTTCCGCGCGGGCAAGAAGTCGGGCAAGGGCGTCGTGACCTACGGGTCCGGCGACGCGGCGACGCTCGACGGCGACTTCGTCGACGACCGGCCCGTCAAGGGCACGTTGACCTACGCGGACGGCGCCGTCTTCGTCGGCGACCTCGACGAGGAGGGCCTGCCCAAGCACGGGGTCCTGACGGGCGCCGACGGCGCGACGTACGACGGCCGCTTCCGGAAAGGCAGGCCGCTCCTCCGGAAGGGCGCCGACGGGAAGTAGGATTTAAGGTTAGTTTCGCCCCGCTAGGGCGTCTCGATGTTCACCGGCGGCTTCGGGTAGTGCTTGAGCATCGCGTCGAGGTCGAAGTCGTTGGGCCGCTGGTTGAAGGTCAACGGTCCGCTGTCGCTGCTGTAGCGGCTCGCGATGCAGTAGGACTCGACGACCTGGGCGATGACGTGGTCCGCCTCCTCCTTGAGCATCTGCTTCTCGACGTCGCCCCGGAGGAGCACGATGTCCTTCTCCTTCGCGAGGTCGTCGTGGAGCGTCAGGGTCACGTAGGGCCGCGCGAAGGTCGGGTTCTTCTTGTAGTCCTCGAGGAACGTGAAGAGGAAGTGGCGCCGGTTCTGGAACTGGGACAGGAGCAGGAAGTGGCCGCCGTCGCGGAACACGGGGAAGAGGAACGTCGGCGCCGCGCCCGCGCGGTCGACGAGCACCTGCGCCGTCTTCGCGGGGATGTCGCGGCCGACGGCGTCCTGGCGCCCCTCGTGGTAACTTCGCCAGATCTCGGCGATCTTCGACGTCGGCTCCTTCTTCAGCAGCGGCAGCTTGACGATGTCCGTGAGCTGGCGGGCCACGTGGCTCGCGTGGCCCGCGCGCGAGAAGGCCATGGCGCTACGGCTTCGATCGGTGCCTGCGTCGACGTCTCGCGGCGCGACGCTTGCGCGCACGTGCGGAGCGCTGCGCGCGACGGCTCGGCGCGTGCCGCGGCGAGGGCTTGCGAGAGCTCGCGCAGCGTCGATGCTTGACGGGGCAAGCCGGGGGAGCCGTCGTTGCTGGCCCTCAAACGATGGTGAGGGCTGCCGCTGCTAGACAAGAAATGCCAGCGAGTGATGCTCGGAAGGCCCGATGGTAGCTGCACATAGGCTGCATCGAGTGATGCTCGGAAGGCTGCTGTGGCTTGCAGCTACTACACCAGCGCTCGAGGAGGCCGCAGCCGCAGCTACTACACCAGCGCTCGAGGAGGCCGCAGCCGCGGCTACTACACCAGCGCTCGAGGAGACCTGCGCCCCCCTCGACGTGCGGATCCTCTCGCGCGATGATGCCGACGAGCACGCGAACGCGTCGGCGCTGTGGCCGCGCGCGCTGCCGAACGCCGTCGTCGGCCCCAAGAACCGCGTCGCGCTGGCAGGCGCCTACGCCGACGAGGCGGCGGCCGCCGGCGAGGCCGGCGACGGCCGCAGCGGCTGGCTCAATCTCCTCGCGTCGCACGATCTCGACCCGAGTCCGTGGGCCGCGGAGCAGCTCGTCGCCAACTACCGCGCCGCGGGCTACGACTCCCTGGCCGACGGCGTCGCGAGGACGCCCGCCGCGGCCCGTCCGAAAGTGGCGCCGACGGGCGAGTTCGTCGCGCCCTTCGCGGCGCTCGTCGGCCGCTGGGACCTCTCAGCGCCGCCGCTCGGGCCGGAGGCCGTCGCCGACGGCAACCGGGCGCTGTACGCCGCCGCCGCGCGCGCCTACGACGCCGTGCGGGCGCGCCTGCCGCCGGACACGACGGCGACGGGCGTCAACCACGCGCTCTTCGAGTGGCAGATGCGCGTGCTCCGCAAGACGGGCGCCGTCGCGGCGTCGCTGGGGGCCGTGCCCCTCTGGGCCGACGTTCAAACCGCGGCCCGCGGCGCCGCGCGCGAGCTCCTCGCGGCCCACGGCGGCGATCCGGCAAAGGTCGACGCCGCGACGTGCGTCTCCTGGATCTCCGTCCACGTCGTCGGCGACTCCGTCCACGAGCCCCACAACACGGACGACTCGCTCGTCGGCGGCGTCTACTACGTCTCCGTGCCGCCGGGGAGCCAGGACCTCGCGCTCTACGACCCGCGCGGCGCGCGGCCCTTCGACGCCGGCGGCGACGGCGGCGGCGGGCGCCGCGTCGCGCGGCCGGACGCGCCGTTCCACCGCACGGTGGAGCTGCCCGCGGCCGAGGGGGTCTTGGTGCTGTTCCCGGGCTGGATGGTCCACCAGGTACTACCGTCCGCGGCGTCGTCGCGAGCGTCGGAGACGTACCGCGTCTCCATCTCCGTGAACTTCAAGGGCGAGTGGCAGGACACGACGGGCCTGTCGCTCGCCTTCCCGCCGGGGACGACGTTCGGGAGCTAATGTGCACTGCAGTGTTGCGTCCTGAATCGACCGACCGCGCGCCCCCGGGGCCGGCTCGTTCTCGGGAGACTGATAAAGCGCGCGCCTGGCGTCGGCGCGCGCGCGGCGGGAGGGCGCCCTACGCCTCGACGACGGAGAGCGTGAGCTCGATCTTGAGCTTTTTGTGGAGCTCGACGGTGACGGGGTAGTCGCCGTGGCTCGAGATGGCCGGGACCTTGACCTTGGCCTTGGAGACGTCGCCGGACGCCGCGGCCGTGAGGACCTGGAGCACGTCGGCGACGTCGACGGCGCCGACGTCGCCGTCCTCGCCGAGCGCGCGGACAATCTTCAGGTCGAGGCCCGCGAGGCCCTGGGCGACGTCCGCCGCCGCGTCGTACGCCGCCGCGTCCGCCGCCGCCGCCGCGGCCTTTTTGACCTCGTCGGCCGCGATGACCTCCGCCGACGCGGGGACGCCGAGCTCCTTGGCCGTCAGGTAGTTGACGGCGAAGCCCCGCGACACCTTGAGCACGTCGCCCTCGTTGCCGTAGGGCGGCGCGTTCTTCGTGAGCACGTACTTGACCGGCTGCGCGCCCGCGTTCGGGTACTTCTGCCTGAGCTCCTTGGCCGTCTTCGACCACTGGAGCTGCGTCGCCGGCCGCGCGGGGCCCGTCGTCGGCTGGAACGCGGCGACGCCCGCGACGAGGAGCAGGAGCTTGGCCATGGCGAAAAACCTACGGAAGCGTCGCGCGTCGGGCGGTCCGTCCGGCGCGGCGGCGGCGCGCGACTCTCCGTCCCCGCGCGAGCCAGGGCCCGTCGGCGGCGGCAGGCGAGCAGCGGCGCGGTGCGCGGACGGAACGCGGCCACCGAGACGCCCGGAGGCCGCGTTTTTTCGTCCGCGCGCCGCCACCGCACTGCCCCCGCGCGTTCCGCCTCTCACGACGCTCTCACGACGCACTCACGACGCTCTTCGCCGGCGAATTTGATGGTCTGACGCGGGCTTCATCACCTCGCTTTGTCGTCGCCTCCTTCAAGCGCCGCGCCGGGTATCGAAGGCCAGCGCCTGCGCTGAGCCTCACGGGAGCTCGTACGCGTCGAACGGGCCCCTGCACGACGGTCCGGCCCCGGGACGGGGGCCGGGGACGGCGGGCACGGGGGTTCCGGCACGGTAAATGCGCTCCGGGCACGCGGCCCGGCACGGGCCCGGCACGCGGCACGGCACTCGGCACGGGCCCCCGGGCACGGGCCGGGCACGGGCCACGCGGCCCGGCACGGGCCCGGCACTCGGCACGGGCCCCGGGCACGGGCCGGGCACGGGCCGGGGAGGCCCGGCACGGGCCCGGCACGGGGCCCCGGGCACGGCCCGGGCACGGGCCGGGGACGTGGCCGGGGACCGCGGCACTGGCACGCACCGTTGTGCAGGGCCCCCTCGTCGAGGCCTCACCGGGATCCCGGAGCGATCCGGCGCGATCCGGCGCGATCCGGAGCCATCTCGAGCGACCTCCAGCGACCTTACGCGAGGGCGACCCCGCGCGCTCGGACGCGACCCCGGCTCATGAGCCCGGCGATCCGGAGCGAGGCGGCGCCGGTCATGACGCAAGGCATGAATTCTGCGGGGCATGCACTACGCGCGGAGCCATCATCTCGCCATCCGATAGAGCCATCCGAGAGGGACGTTACGCACCACAGCCCCACCTACTTCGCCGTCCGCGTGCTCTTGGGCGCCCGGCGCTTGTTGGCGCCGGCCTTGCCCTTGGCGGCGTTGGACGCGGCGCGGCGGCGGGCCGTCGTGGCCTTGGGCGGGCGGTAGCCCGGGGGCTTGCCGATCCACTTCTCGAGGCTCGGGAAGGCCGGCGAGAGCCAGTCGAGGAGGATCGTGCGGACGAGGTTGATGGACGGGCCGAAGATGCGGTCGAGCGCCTCGTACATTTTGTAAAAGGCCATGCGGGCCTTGTAGGGCATGTAGCGCCGGTAGTAGAACTGGGAGGCCTGGGCCCACTTGGCGCCCTCCTTGGAGAGGAAGGAGGTGAAGGACGCGTCGTTCTCCCAGCCCATGAAGTAGCCGTAGTCGCCGTACTTGGCCTCGAGCACCTTGACCATCTTCGGGTAGTTGCCCGCGTACTTGGCGATCAAGGCGTCGACCTCGTCGACCTTGTCCGGGTTGTGCTTCTCGTAGAAGGACGTGAGGCGCTCCGTGGGCGTCGCGGACATGCCGAGCTTGGCGCCGAGGCCCGAGATCGACGACGACGCGCCCGCGCCGAGCAGGCCGCCGACGTTGTCGACGACCCAGAGGAGCGCGGGCAGGATCGCCGACCCGAAGAGCAGGGCGAGGAAGGCCACGTACTTCCACTTGATGCCCTTGGACTTCTTGCCGCCGCCGCCGCCGCGGCTCGGCGCGTAGCCCTCGTCGTCGTCGCTGCTGTCGTCCACGGGCGCCGGCGGCTTGTCCTCGGCCTCCTTTTCGTCGCGCGCGGCCTTGCGGCCCGCCATTTTGCGCTTGTGGAGCGCTTTCTTGTCCATGGCGCTGCGCTCTCCGTGCACGGCGAGGCGAGGTGTCGATCTGCCGCAAGCTTCAAGCGGTGCGGCTCCGTCGGTGCCTCGTCTGGCGTTGAGGCCGACATAGGACGAGTTCGACGACGCCGGCCTTCCACGATGGGGGGCAGCCCCGCCGCGGCGGCGTCCCTCGTGGATTCGGAAACAAGGAGACCACCAAAACGCCGATCCGCGGCGCTCGTCGCCGTCGCCCTCGCGGCGACGCTCGGGGCCCTGTCCCTGCGGCTCCGCCCGCGTCTCCTGGAACGCGGCGCGACGACGCTCGCGACGGTGACCAACGCGACGCGGAGCTACAACGCGACGCAGTGGGACTGGATGGTCTACAAGGCCACCATCGCGACGCCGCCGGGATCCTACAAGCACATCGTGCCCTTTATCAACTCGACGCTCGCCCCGACGGAGGTCTTCTGCCTCGGCTGCGAGGGCGTCAAGTCGTACGCGAACGTGGCCAACGACGTGGGGCTCCACTTCGTCGAGGCGCCGGCGCTCACGGAGGGCCCCGTGCCCCTCGTCGAGTGGGTCGACTTCTTCGAGCGCGTCGTGGAAGACGCGCTCGCGGGCAACCAGTGGAACGCGTTCATGCACAACCGCGTCCAGCTCTACACGTCGTCGGCGAACTTCCTCGCGCACTATGATGCCATCGTCGCCTACGGCGGCAACGTCACGCTGCTCGGCCGGCGCACGACGGGCTACGTCCACGACGGCGACGAGACCGTGGAAGTCGCGCACCTCCTATTCCACGTCACGGGCCGCGTCTACGAGCTCGCCGCGCCCGTGCTCGGCGACGCGACGCTGGCCGCGCTGGCCGCCGCGTGGCCGGTGTACGGCGAGTCGGAGTGCGAGGCGGCCATGCGCCTGCCGTCGCGGTCCGTCGACCTGCTGGACGCCTACTACCGCGAAAAGGCCGCCGAGTACTACGCGTCGTCGGAGTTCTACGCCGCGTGGATCGACGAGAAGGGCTTCGCGCCGCCCGTCCTGGTCGACATCCAGGTCTCGGCCCGCGACGCGGCCCAGACCGTGGCGAACTGGGTCGACGTCGCCGCGCCCCTGTCGCCCCAGGTCGTCGATTTGGACGTCGCGGACTGCGTCGCGCGCCGCGTGTCCGTGAGCGGCCACCTCGGCGACATCTTCGGCCGCTTCCAGCCGTCGCTGACCTACGTGGAGAACCGCGCCGCGCCGGGCCTCGCGGGCGGCGACGCCTTCGAGCACACGGTCGCCGACTGGGACGCGTACGTCGAGCACGTCCACGACTACATGGGCACGAACTCCGAGTGGGGCTGGGGCATGGACTGGAACCACTTCCTGGACACGCACGTGGGCTTCCAGTACGAGGGCACGGGCACGTGCTCCAACGACACCATCGGGCTGCTGCACTACTTCGACACGGAGCTCGAGGCGAAGGACGTCAACGTCGGCCAGCGCACGGGCCACGCGAACGGCCAGTACTCGCAGCACTTCTATTGCGGCAAGTGGGGCGCCGTCGCCTGGGAGTTCAACGTCCTCGGCTGCGACCGGGGGTCCCGGGACCGCGACGCGAACGTGTGCACGTGCAACCGCGAGAACAACGGCGGTCTCTACACGCTCCAGACGGACGGCGTCTGCGCGGACACGTGCGACTCCGAGCTGAGCGCGGACGCGGCGCTGCTGACGTAAAAATAGGGTGTGTTTTGTGCGGCTGTGTCCTGGGGGGCGGTCGGGCGGTGGGCGAGTGCGCCGCGGAGACGCAGCGCGCCGCTAGGAAGGCAGTGCTGACTTGCAGAGGGCTTGTGGTAAGAGATGCACCTTCACTTTAGTAAGCGTGCACGCTCATGTTGCCAGCGACATGCCGAGTGACGCGGACGCAAAGCGATCTCTAGGAGGGCGCTCGAAGTCGATTGGCGCGCGCTGCAACATGGTGCATGCTACGGCCCTCATCGTGTTCGCCGCGAGCGTCGGCCGGCTCAACGCCCTCGTCGCCAGCGTCGGCGGCCACGCGGCGCACGGGGCCGCGCGCCCGAGCTGGGCTAGGGGCGGGCCTCTCAAGGCGCTCGCGAGCCGCGAAGAAACCGCGGCGCCCGCGCGCCCCGCCGCGGACCCCGGCGCCGACGAGGCGTCGCTCTTCGAAGGCTTCGTCGGCGCCTGCGAGGCCGCCGTCGGCGACAAGCGGCTCATCGACGAAGTCGTCGCGAGCTTCGCCTACAGCGGCGCTTTACAGTTTGAGCACGAGACGACGACGCGCTACGACGGCCAGGGCGCCGTGAAGCGGGGCCTGAGCCGCCTCTTCTTCGAGGGCGACGCCGCGGGCTTCGACTGGTCGGGCGTGACCACGCTCGTCGGCGAGGACCGCACCGTGTCCGCGCGGCTCACGGCCAAGGCCGAGTCCGGCGCCGTCGCCGCGGAGCTGGACGTGGCGGCGGCCTTCGACGGCGCCGGCGGCGTCGCGAGCCTCTTCGTGTCGCCCCTGGACGCGCCGTCGCGGGCCTGGCTCGCGCGGACCGTCGAGGGCGTGCAGGTCGGGCAGGACGGCGGCCCGAAGTGGGAGACCTACGACGGCCGCGTGCGCCAGCAGATCTGGCAGTCGCCGGACTGCTTCGCGCCGGGGAACCCCTTCCTCGCGGAGAAGCTGGAGCTGACGACGGGGCGCCTCGTCACCATCGTCGACGAGACGGTCTGGGGCCTCTACAAGGAGAAGATGGAGGCGTGGGCCGCGTCCGTGGATTTGGTCCTCGACCCCATCATCGCGCCGGGCAACGAGGACGAGAAGTCCATGGAGAACATGATCTTCATGCTGGACGAGATCGCCCGCGTCGACCCGCTGCGGCGCGCGGAGCCCATCCTCGCCGTCGGCGGGGGCGTGCTCACGGACACGGCCGGGTTCGCGTGCGCGCTGTGGCGCCGCGGCGTGCCCTGGGCGCGCATGCCGACGACGCTGCTGGGCATGGTCGACGCGTCCGTGGGCATCAAGGTCGCGGTGAACTACAAGCGCAAGAACGGCGTCGGCCACTTCTTCTCGCCGAGCCACACGTTCGTCGACACGTCGTTTCTTCCCACTGTCAGCTACCCCGACGTCATCTCGGGCTGCGGCGAGATCATGAAGGCGGCGCTGGTCCACGACGGCACGCTCTTCGACCTCATGGAGGCCCACGGCGCGCGCCTCATCGACAAGAAGTTCGTCGACGACCCCGTGGCCGACGACGTCATCAAGCGGAGCGTGGACACGATGCTCGAGTGCATCGGCCCGGACCTCTGGGAGGAGAGCCTCCTGCGCCCCATGGACTTTGGCCACTCCTTCTCGCGCACGCTCGAGACGACGGAGGCCTTCAAGCTCCGCCACGGCGAGGCCGTCGCCATCGACTGCATCATGAACACGATGATCGCGAACGACAAGGGCCTGCTGAGCGACGCGGACACGGACCGCGTGCTGGACCTCTACGCCGCGCTGGGCCTGCCCTGCTCCATCGAGGGCATCACGGCGGAGACCTACAAGCGCGCGGCCCGCGAGATCACGGTGCACCGCGACGGCATCCTCCGCGCGCCGCTCCCCAACGGCATCGGCGAGTGCGCCTACACGGACGAGATGACCGACGACGAGATCGAGCGCGCCTTCGCCAAGCTGAGCGAGTTCATCGACGCCCACCCGGAGACCAAGTGGGACCCGTCCAAGTCCTTCGCCGCGGACCGCGAGTCGTGAGCCCGCGCCGCTGCGGCCGGCTGCACAAAGAAATAGTTGATACCCCCTTCCCGCGGCTGCAGCGGCTGGACACCACGCCCCCCCTCTCCTTCGAACGACGCAGGACCTCCGCGCGCGGCGACTCGGCGACCACCGGCCCGCTTGTCAGAGCGGCCCGCCGACCCCAGTCGCTCCGCCATAAATTCATCCCTGTGCGCAGTTCCCGGGGTCCTTAAGCCGCCCGGGGCTCACCGTCGCTTCGGCGTCGTCGCTTTTCGCTTCGCGGTCGACTTGGGCGCCGGCGACCGCGCGCGCGCCGACGACCGCGCGGTCCTCGCGCTCGTCGGGGGGCCGCCCTTGGGCGTCGCGAGCGCCCGGTCGATGCGCGCGGACGCCGTGAGCCGCGCGGACGGCGGCGCGCGCTTCGCCGGCGGCGTCGCGCCGCGCTTCGGCGCGCGCGGCGGCGCGGGCGGCGGCGGCGGCAGCGCGGGCGCGCGGCGCGCGGCGGCGCCGAGGGGCGCGGCCGCGCGGCGCGCGGACGGCGGCCCGCTCCGGGCGGCGGCGGCCTTGGCGGCCTTGGGCTTCGGCGCCGCGGCCGCGCGGCGCGGCGTCGGGCTCTTGCCCGCCGGGCGGCGCTTCGCGGCGCGCGCGGCGCTGCCCAGGGTCGCGCGCGCGGCGCGGAGCGCGGCGCCGGCGTCGGCGAGCGCGCCGTCGGCGTCGTCGTCCGGGTCGTCGTCGTCGTCGAAGCCGTCGTCGCCCGCCGGGAAGGGGTCCTCGCCTAGCAGCAGCCGCTGGAACCGCGAGTCCGCCAGGCTCCGGCTCGCGGCGTCGAGCGACGAGTGCGCGGACCAGCGCGGCGCGTCGTCGCCGTCGCAGTCGTCGCGGCGCGACCGCGGCGGCGGCGGCGGCGGCGGCGGCGACGCGGACCGCGTCGGCGGCGCGGCGCGGCGGTCGCGGCGCGCCGCGTCGTCGCGCGCGGCCTGGGCCTCGTCGTCGTCGGCGCGCTGGAGGAGGCGCAGCAGGTCCTTCTGCTTGACGCGGATGCGCTCCGACGCCTCCAGCGACGACTGGAGGCTCGCGTAGTCCTCCTCGAGCGCGGCATGCGCGGCCTTGAGCTGCGCGTACTTGTCGCCGCGCGTCTTGAGCCGCTCGACCTCGGCGCGCAGGCGCGCGCCCTCGCAGAGCGCCTCGTCGCGGCGCCGCGTCATGTCGTCGAGCGACCGCTGGAGCCGCGCGACGCGGCCGAGCGCGTTCGTCTCGCGCCGCGGCTCGCTCGCCGGGAGCGTCGCCACGACGTCGTTCGGGGCCTCCTCGGCGGCGGCGAAGTTCGGCGCGCGCTGGAGCTTGCTGCAGAGCGAGGCGACGTCCTGCTGGAGGAGGCCGAGCTCCTGCTCGAGGCGCGCGCGGCGGCTCGTGGTCTCCTCCATTGGTTCGAACGTTTTTGCCACTAAATGCGCAAAGCGCGATGGTGCGGCCGCGGTCGACGGCGGCGATGTGTTGTGAAGGTGTGGCTGTGGTTGACGACCGTGCAAAAAGCCGTGGAGACGCGCTGGTGGCTTTGGGCGCGGCCGGCGGCGGCGACGTGCGGTACCGGCGCCGGTGGAGATTTGAGCTCACCGCGGCTCTCTCTAGAGCTCTCTCTCTGATTCGGCTCCTCGCGTGGGTCTCTGGCATCGGCGGCACGCTCAGAAAACGCGCGCGGCAGCCGCCGCGCCACCGGAGCGGCCGCGGGCTCAGCAGTAGCGCCGCGCGCCACAGACTTCAGCGCGCGCGCAGCGAAAGCCGCAGCGCCGAAACTCGACGCGCCGGAGAAAGCCAGATATTTCGCTTTCGGCTCCGCAGATCGACATGAGCCTCAAGCCGCGCACGCGCGGCGACACGGCCTGGGAGCAGAAGGTGCTCAGCAACGAGGCGTCCCCCGCCAAGGAGGCGCCGGAGAAGCCGAAGCCCAAGAGCCGGAAGCGCGCGGCGGCGCCCGCCGCGCGCGGCGACTCGGACGCCGCGTTGCTCGAGATCCCCGTCGTCGCGTGCGGCGGCGACGCGGAGGAGACCCAGGACGCGGCGCTGGACCGGAGCATCGTGATCCTGCGGGGCCTGCTGCCCGCGGGCGGCGACGCGGGCCCCCTGGGCCTCGCGGCGCTCCGGCGGCGCCACGGGGGCGCGAAGATCGCCATGGTCATGCAGAAGCCTCTGAGCGCGCCCGGCTGGAACCTGCCGAAGCAGTGGTCCACGGTCAAGGCCCTGGGCCCCTACATCGACCTCATGGCCGACGACGTGGCCTCGGGCCTCGTGCCCGCGGAGCCCGCGGCGCCGGAGCCGTCGCCGTTCGGCCGGCGCGCCGCGACGCCGAGGAAGAAGCGGGGCCGGGGCGAGAAGCCCAAGGCCGAGGTGGGCCACATCGAGTTCGCGGCGAACGTCGACATGGTCGGCGTCATGGACGCGGAGCTCGCGCACCTCCGGCGGACGCTGCCGCCGTGGATGCTCTGGCAGTCGGCGAGCGACTGCCTGCGCTTCGCGCGGCAGGGCGTGAGCGGCATGACGGCGCCCCAGATGTACCTCAAGCGGCGCGGCGTCTGGACGGGCGGCCACGAGGAGAATCTGCGGTTCTCGAGCGTCAACTGCTGCCACGGCCCCGGGAGCTCGACGTGGTACGCGGTCGACCCGGAGCACGCGGCGCGGGTGCGGTCCTTGGCGTTGGAGCACGCGGGCGTCGACATCTACGTCGCCGAGGGCAACTGGTGGCCCGACCCGGACTGGCTCCGGAGCCACGGCGTGCCCGTGCGCGTCGGCCTGCAGAGGGCGGGCGACGTCGTCGTGCTCAAGGGCGGCACGCTCCACTGGGTCGTCGCCGACTCCGTGACCGTGCACAGCTCCTGGAACTTCGGGGAGCTCTGCGCGGGGCAGCTCAGCGACGCGCTGGACCGCGCGGCGGTCAACGAGCGCATCGGCGTGCCGAACTTGATCGCGATCCGGACGGTGATCCTCGACGTCGCGCGGCACCTCGTGGCCCACGCGGGGGGGCTGGAGCGGCCGGGGAGCCCGCGGGCGCGGCGCTCCGACGCCGCGTTGGACGCGCGCGCGAAGCGCGGCCTGCCCGAGCTGCTGGGCGTCGTCGCGGGGAGCGTGGCGGCGACGCTGCGGTCCGAGTCCGAGGCGCTCGCGCGGCTCCGGTCCCGGCGCCTCTCCGTCGGCCCGGAGCCCGCGGGCGCGCTCGTCGTGCGCTGCGACGCCTGCGCCGTCGAGCTGCCCTGCCACTACGTCCGCTGCGACGGGTGCCTGGCCGAGGCCGAGGACGGCTCCGAGGCGGCGACGCCGTTCCTCTGCGTGGGCTGCGGCCTCCGGCACCGGGGGCCGGGCCACGCCGTCGTCGCCCTGTCCAAGGGGCCCATCTCCGAGGTGCGCCGCATGGCCGTCGCCGTCGCGGACCTCAAGGGCCGCGTCGACGCCGCGCGCGAGGCGCCGGCGGCGCCCGTCGAGGAGCCCGTCGAGGAGCCGCTCGACGCGGCGCCCGAGGCGGCGCCCGAGGAGGCGGCGCTCGACGTGCCCGCCGAGGAGCCGGCGCCGGAGCCGGAGGAGGAGCCGGAGCCGGAGGAGGAGCCGGAGGCGTCGGCGCCGGAGCCGGGCGGGGAGCGACCGGACGAGGAGCCGGAGTCGGAGGCGTCGGAGGCCGCGCCGGAGGCGACGCCGAGCGAGGCGCCGAGCGAGGCGTCGCACGAGTCGGTGGAGCTCAAGCTCGCCATCGTCGCGGAGGTCGCCGCCCGCGCCCGCGCGCCGCCGCGCGCGGCGGCCCCGGACGCGCCCGTGGCGCTCGTCGAGGGCGCCGTGCTCCTGCCGGCGTCGCCCGCGGCGCCGCCCGCGGCGTCGCCCGCGGCGCTCGTCGAGGGCGCCGTGCTGCTGCCCGGGCCGGCCGCGCCGCGCGCCGCGCCCGTGCCGCCGCCGCGGCAGAGCTACGCGCGGCCGGAGGGCGCGTCGGGCCGCTACAGCCCGCCGCCGCGCTGGGTCATCGCGCCGGCGTCGCCGCCGCGGCGCGCCGCGCTCCAGCCCCACCCGGCGCAGCGCGCCGCGCTCCACCCGCGGTCGCCGCCGACGCACGGCGCCGCGCCGGGCACCTTCGCGCCGCCCGCGCGCGCGCTCCTGCCGAGCCTCGACCCGCCGCCGCCGGCGAAGCGCCCGCGGCCCTACGCGCCGCCGCCGCCGCCCTACGCGCCGCCGCCGCCGCCGCCCTACGCGCCGCCGCCGCCGCCCTACGCGCCGCCGCCGCCGCCCGCCGCGCGGCTCCCGTCGCCGCCGACGCTGCCGCTGCCGCCGCTGGCCCCGCCGCCGCTGGTCGCGCTGCCCTCGCCGGCCAAGCCGCCGCCGGAGGACGCGCACTCGCCGCCGCCGTCGGCGTCGAAGCCGCGCGACTTCGCGACGCCGCTGCCCCCCCTCATCCGCTGGGAACTGTCGCGCCACTTCCCGGGCGTCCTCCGCGCCAAGCAGTAAGCATCCACAACCGACGCGTTACTCCGGCTCCCGCGGGCTCAGACCGAGCGGCGCGCGCCGGTCGAGCCGGAACCGGCGGACGTCGTCCTCGCGCAGCGCCGCCCACTCCTCGTCGCGGAGCGCGGGCCGCGCGGGCCCGAGGCGCAGGAACGACGCGACGTGGCCGAGGACGTCGTCGGGGAGCCAGGTCTCCTCCGCCGGCCGCCCGAGCCGCCGGACGGCCTCGAGGCTCGCGGCGTCGGAGAGGTGCACGTCGTCGACGATGGGCCGCGACGGGAGCGCGTCCCAGTCGAGCCCGCCGAAGAAGCGGAAGCGCGCGAGGTCGCGGAGCGCCGGCCGGGCCGCGGGTTCCAGGCGCGTCAGCGCCGCGACGAGGTCCCGCGCGTCCCCGGAGACCCGCTGCCGCCTCGTCGCCGTCATGTCCTCGTAATCCACGACCCCCTTGAGGATCAGCGTCTCGAGCTCCTCGCGGCTGCCGCCGAGGAACGGCGCGTGTCCCGCGAGCATCTCGAACACTAACACCCCCAGCGCCCACCGGTCGACGCCGACGCCGTAGGGCAGCTGGCGGACCATCTCCGGCGCGCGGTACTCGGGCACGCCGACGGCCCGCGACCGGGACTCGCCGTCGACGGGCGCCGCGAGCTGGAACGACGACAGCTTCGCGTGGCCTAACACGTCGAGGGACACGGCCTCGGGGCAGAGGCCGCGGAGCACGAAGCCGCGCGCGTGGACGTGGTCCAGGGCGCTCGCGATCTCCGCGGCGTAGAGCGCCGCGCGCCGCTCCTCGAGCGGGCCCTGGTGCCGCAGGTGCTCCCAGAGTCCGCCGTCCGCGCCGTGATGTTCCAAGACGGCGTACGTGTGGCCGCCGGCGACGAAGGAGTGGCGCAGCGCGACGACGAACGGGTGGCCGGCGCTCGCGCGCAGCGCTGCGACCTCGCGGCCGTCGTCCTCGCGGAACGCGTAGAGGCAGTAGACGGCCCGGGGCCAGCGCTTGCGCCGGACGCGCAGCCCGCAGCCCAGGCTGCCGTCGCTCGGCATGCCGCAATGCTCGAAGTTGTCCGGCGCTTGCTCGGTCCAGGCGGGCGCCGCCGCGCTCGAAGCGCCCGCACCCATCGCGTGCTATCTTCGAGCTGCAGCCATCATCGTTGAGCGGCGTCGAGTCGGGCCGGCAATCGGGCAGCATGGCAAACTGCAACTTTGCTCCCATTTGCGAGCTGCCGGTGCGTGGGCGGCCATAATATTTTTTGCGCAGCCACCAACACGTCGGGCTGCCAACACTGTGAGCCATGGCCGCCCACGTCGCAAAGAAGGCGAAGAAGGGCGCGCAGCCGAAGGTCGCGCTCGTGACGGGCGTCACGGGCCAGGACGGCTCCTATCTGACCGAGTTCCTGCTCGAGAAAGGCTACGTCGTCCACGGCATCATCCGGCGGTCGTCGTCGTTCAACACGGGCCGCATCGAGCACATCTACAAGGACATGCACGCCGACGACGTGCGGCTCTTCCTCCACTACGGGGACCTGACGGACAGCAGCAACCTCTTCCACATCATCAGCGAGGTCAAGCCCGACGAGATCTACAATCTGGGCGCGATGTCGCACGTCAAGGTGTCCTTCGAGATGAGCGAGTACACGGCGGAGGCCGACGGCATCGGCACGCTGCGGCTCCTCAACGCCGTGCGCTCCGCGGGCCTCGAGAAGAGCTGCCGCCTCTACCAGGCGTCCACCTCGGAGCTCTACGGCAAGGTGCAGGCGATCCCGCAGACGGAGACGACGCCCTTCTACCCGCGGTCGCCCTACGGCGTCGCGAAGCAGTACGCCTACTGGATGCTGGTCAACTACCGCGAGGCCTACGGCATGCACCTCACGAACGGCATCCTCTTCAACCACGAGTCGCCGCGGCGCGGCCCGACGTTCGTCACGCGCAAGATCACGCGCGCCGTCGTCCGCATCAAGGCCCAGCAGCAGAAGACGCTCTACCTCGGCAACCTCGACGCGAAGCGCGACTGGGGCCACGCGCGCGACTACGTCGAGGGCATGTGGCTCATGGTCCAGCGCGACGTGCCCGACGACTACGTCCTCGCGACGGGCGAGTGCCACAGCGTCCGCGAGTTCGTCGAGGTGAGCTTCGAGCACGTCGGCATCAAGGTCAAGTGGACCGGCGAGCCGGGCACCGCGGAGGAGGTCGGCGTCGACGCGGCCGACGAGAGCCACGAGCTCGTCAAGGTCGACCCCAAGTACTACCGCCCGACGGAGGTCGACCTCCTCGTCGGCGACGCCGCCAAGGCGCGCCGCGACCTCGGCTGGAAGCCCAAGATCACCTTCAAGAAGCTCGCCACGGAGATGGTCGACGCGGACATGGCCGAGCTCAAGGCCGAGCTCGCGTCCACGCGCCAGTGAGCGGGCCCGCGGCATCGCGACCCGACCGCACCGAAGCCCCGGCGGCACCCTAATTATCCACGACTCGACGATGCGGAAAGCGACCGACGTGATGACGTGGTGGCGCCCGACCGACGCGCGGCAGGTAGGCGGCGGTGCGGGGCGCGATACTACTTAGGCGCGCGTCGCGCCAGCTTCCTGATCGTCTGGTACCAGTAGTCGCTGACCTGGGTGTCTATGCGCCCGGGGAGCAGCGCCGCGATCAAGACCCACTCGTTGGGCATTCGGCGCTGCGCGTCGCGGATGATCTCGATCTCGCGGTCGGTAAAGGGGTCCCGGTTGACGCTCGGGTCGAGGTGATCGCGCCAGCGAGTGCGGATCTGCGACTGGGTCCGCCGGTCCTCCTTGGCCAGCGTCTCGTTGAACTCGACGGCCATCTTTGCCCAGAGCTTCGGTCCGCGGGCCTCGACGAGTTGCCGGACGCGTTCGTCCTCGTCGGGAAGCCACGGGCGCCGCGGGCCCAGTGGTTTGCGCCGTTTCCTTGGCCGCGACTCGCTGCCCGGCATCGCGACGGGCGTGGCGGCGGGAGCCGCGCGCGCCACGGGCGGCGGCGCGGCGGGCGGCGGCGCGGCGGCGAAGGCCGGCGCCGCGGCGGGCGACGGCGCGGCGGCGAAGGCCGGCGCGGCGGCGGCTGGCGCGCGGGGCGGCAGGCGAAGCGCCCGCGGGGGCGGCGGGCACGGCGGCAGGCCGAGCGCCCGCGGGGGCGGCGGGCACGGCGGGACCCCCGGCGTGGCGAAGGCCGGCGGCGCGGCGAGCGCCGGAGCGCCGGCGAAGGTCGGCGACCGGCGCTGGTCCAAGAGCGTGCCCAGGGGGTCCGCGAGCACCGCGGGCGGCAGCGCCGCGAGCTGCTCCGCGAGCCGGTCGCGCGCGAGCTTGTTCCGCTGGTCGAGCCACCGGCGGCGGTCGGCGGGCCGACTTCTTCGCGAACCACTTCGCGAACCGGTCGCGCTCGTACTTGGCCCGGTCGTCGAGCCGCCGCCGGCGCTCCGCGGGCGGCAGCGCCGCGAGCCGGTCGCGCCGGAGCTTGTTCTGGTAGTCGCGGTAGACCTGCCGCGCCGCGGGCGGCAGCCGCGCGAGCCGGTCGCGCGCGAGCTCGTTCGCGTGCGCGCGCCGGTCCGCGAGCGCGGCGCCGGGGGGCTGCGCGGCGTCGACGAAGCGCGACGCCGGCGCGCCGCCGTCGACGCCGTCGACGAGGCGGGCCATCGCGTCGTCGTCGAGGAGCACCTCCCACGCGTCGTCGCGCTTCGACACGTCTTCAAGCCGGACCAACAGCGTGACGAGCTGCGCCGCGTCGTCCTCGCCCAGGGCCGCGGCGCCCAGGTTCGCGTCGTCCTCGCCCAGGGCCGCGGCGCCGAGGTCCGCGTCGCCCTCGTCGAGGAGCATCTCCAGCGCGTAGTCGTCGCCGCTCGCCGCGGCGTCGAGGAACCGCGCCGCGGCGCCGAGGTCCGCGTCGTCGCCGAAGTTCGCGTCGTCGACGGACAGCGCCGCGTCGCCGAGGCCCGCGAAGCCCGCGCCGTCGAGGGACAGCGCCGCGTCGCCGAGGCCCGCGAAGTCCGCGCCGTCGAGGGACAGCGCCGCGTCGCCGAGGCCCGCGAAGTCCGCGCCGTCGACGGACAGCGCCGCGTCGCCGAGGCCCGCGCCGACGCCGAAGCCCGCGTCGTCGACGGACAGCGCCGCGTCGCCGAGGCCCGCGAAGTCCGCGCCGTCGACGGACAGCGCCGCGTCGCCGAGGCCCGCGCCGACGCCGAAGCCCGCGTCGTCGACGGACAGCGCCGCGTCGCCGAGGCCCGCGCCGACGCCGAAGTCCGCGCGCGAGCAGTCGTCGATGGAGAGGGCCGCGTTCGCGGCCGCGACGTCAAAGTCCGACTGCTCCTCGCACGCGAGGGCGCGGGCGAGCGCCGCCTTGGCGGCGGCGTGCTCCTCCTCGGCCTTCCCCCTGAGGATGAGCTTGGAGCCGACGAGCGCGCCGCGGTTCGCGCCCAGCGCGGCGACCGCGTGGAAGAAGACGACTGCTACGAAGGTGTCGTCGTCGAGCTGGAGCGCGGCGACGATCTGCTGCCCCGCCATGACGGCGGGGAGCGCGTAGAGGGACTCGGGCTCGACCTCGAGAACGGTCATCGCGAAGACGCCGCCGTCGCGCGCGCGGAGCATCGGGTCGCCGAGCTTGTCGACCGGCGCGGCGAACATGTAGAGGTGGCACCCCATGTCGCTGTAGACGCAGCGCCACTGCTCCACGCCGTAGGTGCCGTCGGCGACGCAGGCCCTGAACAGCTCCAGCTTCTGCGCGCTCGTCGCGGAGGCCGGGAACTCCAGCGGCGGCAGCTCCGGGTGCTGCTCGCGGAGCCGCTCGTACAACTTCATCGTCGCCACGATGGAGTCGGCGTGGGGGCCCAACGAGTCGACACCGTGGTCGGTCTCGCCGTTCGCGAAGAGGCGCACGTGGTCGACCTCGGTCAGCGCGACCATCTCCTCGACGCGGCGCCATTCCGCCTGAAACCGACGAGCCAATTTGGCTGCCTGTGCAAGTGAAGGTCAACAATGACCAACAGCGCGCGACCGCGCGCGACCGCGCGACGCGACCGGCGCGCCGTTCGCTCGCTCGTCGGCCCGCCCTATCGTCGCGGCCGCGAGCCGCCGGGCCCCGACGAGCGGCCGCCGTCGGGCGCGCGCGCGGCCGCGCGACGCGCGAACGAGGAACTTCCGAGACAAAAA